CGCGGTTCTTCAACAAAGTCTGCCGGATTCTACCGTGCCTTTGGCTTTCTTCTCCAAGAAACTATCCAAAGCCGAAACCCGCTACAGCACATTCGGACGGGAACTTCTCGCCGCTTATCTTGCCGTAAGGCACTTCCGGCATATACTCGAAGGTCGAGAGTTCACAATTTTCACTGATCATAAGCCACTCACGTTTGCAATACATTCCCACTCTGACAAGCTAAGCCCCCGGGAGATCCTTCACCTGGACTACATTTCGCAGTTCACTTCAGATATCCGCCATATTGACGGGTCAAGGAATGAGGTGGCTGACACACTCTCAAGGCCCTCCATTGCTCATCTACAGCTTTCACCCGGGATAGACCTCGCTGAGATGGCCGCTGAACAACGCCGTGTCGGTCCACCCTGTGATGAGGATGTTTCCGGACTCCAACTTCAGGAACTACCACTGGCAACTGGCAACGGCACCATCTTATGCGACGTATCCACCCCTTCCCATCGTCCATTCGTGCCACCATCTCTCCGCCGCAAAGTTTTCTCCTCCCTGCACAATCTGTCTCACCCCGGGAGTCGAGCAACCGACAAGCTGGTTTCCGACCGCTTCGTCTGGCCTGGTATGCATAAGGATCTCAAGGCATGGACACCGGCTTGCATCGCCTGTCAACGGAGCAAGATCCAGCGGCACAACAAGGCCCCCATTGGCACCTTCCCCGGCCCTGGTTCAAGGTTCAGCCACGTTCACCTGGACATTGTAGGCCTCCTGCCTCTGTCCAATGGTTGTTCCTATCTCCTCACCTGTGTGGATCGGTTCACTCGGTGGCCTGAAGCAATTCCCCTGCCTGACATTGCTGCTCCAACGGTGGTCAAGGCTTTTCTCAGTCGTTGGGTTGCTATCTCTGGTGCACCCTCCACAATCACGACTGACCGTGGTGCCCAATTTGAGTCTAATCTCTTCCAGTCTTTACTCTCCTTTTTAGGCTGTACCCGCATCCGGACGACAGCCTATCATCCGGCAGCCAACGGGATGGTCGAGCGGTTTCACCGCCAGCTGAAGGCCTCCCTACGCGCCGCAGCCGATCCGGAGAACTGGACGGATCACCTTCCCCTGGTCCTCTTGGGCATCCGCTCCGCTCTCAAGCCGGACCTTGACTGTTCCGCAGCTGAACTGGTGTTCGCCTACACCGTCCGACTCCCCGGTGAGATGATCTCGCCAACCCCTCAAGGTGCAGTTGAGGATCCTACTAACCTCCTGCATCGTCTCCGGCAGTTTATGCGGACACTTTCTCCGGTTCCTCCCAGGTCCTCCGCCTCTCCGTCTTATCTCGAGAAGGACTTGGCAACGTGCTCTCACGTCTATCTCCGATGTGATCGAGTCCGCCGGCCTCTTGAACCGTCCTACGACGGCCCCTTCCGAGTTATCTCTCGTGGGACGAAGAACTTCCGCATCCAACGCGGCACTCGCGAGGAGGTCGTGAGCGTGGACCGTCTCAAAGCTGCCGTCCCGGACACTCCTCCGGATGAGCCCTGTGGTCCCCTACCCCCTGCTCCGCCTCCCCGACCCTCTATCCCTCCGTCCCGTATATTTCCTCTGCCCTCATGTCCACAATCTCCAACTGCAACTACTCCTTCATCAACCAACAACACTGTAACAGCGAGCCATACTCACTCTACTCTTGTGCCCCCTGTATATATCACCCGTAGTGGACGCCATGTTCATTTTCCTGACCGTTTGATTACTCATGTTTTTTAGACACCAACAACTCCTTCGGCGTCGCTGTGCGCCACCTTCGGTCTAGCCGGGGGGTACTGTAGCAGTTCGCGCCTCCTAAACCGCCTTTGTCACGCTGCCGTCCTGTCCGCCTCACACTCCATGTAGATACGCTGATGGGACGCCCGAGTGCTCGAAGCCAATCAACGCTGTCCCCACTCTGATTGGCTGGCGGACGTGGCGACAACGAGGGGCGCACACACGCGCTAAAAACACCTCGAAGGCGTACACAGGCAACAACTTGTCTGGAGAGCACGCTCGCGGCGACTGCCCACACAGCCTTTGTGTACACGCTTTCCAAGCAGTAAAGTTTGTCCTACTCATTCCGCCTTCCCTGACTTTTGATTGGGAATCTTTATCTTGTCGACCACACAACTTTCGACAGATCCACCGTCCGTTCATCATCTTCAATATTAGCTTCTATATTTGCAGAGTGACCGCATAACTCGGCATGTGGTTTTGTGTTCACTAGCATGCCTTTTGGGGAGTAGAGAGGCAAAGGATAAATATCGAGCGATTGTTCACCATCCATGACTTAGACTCACATGGCAGACGTGTGACAGCATTAGTCCGTATGCAGCTTATCCTACGGTACATATCTAAGGACAGTGTCAAACCTGACGCAGTACACGGCGTCTGGGCTTACCAATCTTCATCAACTACTCTTGAGGTTAGCATCGACAGTGGTTTCCATAGCCAAAGAACGACCGTGGCAGTCGGTCTGCCCTTCAGTCCACATGCTGACTGACTTAGATTATCATAACCTACGCTTACAGGGGCTAGGCCTGGACACAGTTCGAATTCACTTTCATCTCTCCTTCAGTCCACATGCTGATTAACTTAGATTATCAGAACTTACACTTACTGCGGCTAGGCGCGGACACAGTCGGCGCGTTGGCATTGACACTACGGGTGCACTCAAACGTTCAATCGCATGAAACGCCCAGCCAGAAAACCAACATCTACACGATAGCTTTAGATAAGTGCGAAACCATCGCCTTAGACTCAACCTTCATTTGCGTAGAATGGCAGCTCACTTTAGGACAGTTGGGATGAGATCGCAGTGCCATAACATAGGCACGCATGTTTCGCCGGTATTCTACCGCTGCATGACACAGCTGCGAGGTGTCCGGCTCGTCAACGGTTCCCCGGCATTCCCTGTTGATGCCCTAACGTGGAACGTGGTATTAGACCACACAGTTGCAGTCGCCCTCATTGCAATTAATTTTGTAGATAACTGCTGGGGTTTCAACGGCTGGCAATAGGTCCTAAGGTTGTACCAGACGGCGCTTAATTGTTGCCTGGTGTCGGTGGGTCATGCCTGCTTTGGCACATTGCTCCTTTAGAATATGACCGAGGGGGTCGTCCAACTATCTGGCACGGAGCTTCAGAGATAACAAGCCGAATATCAATTTCTCGCACCCTTGTAAAATTACTTTGTGATTATTTTTGACAACGCGATCCCTTCGGCATGTGTCCATTCTTCCTGGATTTACACCTTGTAACCCTTTTTGCGTGCAGTAGTATTTTTCCAGTAGTATTTGCCCCCACCTAACTAATGTTAACACAACAGATGAGGAATTACAGTCTTCTGGGGGCAGAAATTGTTGATGACCCAAATATTCATGCATAAAAACTTCGGTCTGGACAAGCTGATTGCATACTAACAGCCCAGGTAGTAGCCAAAAGCACATACACGCGTGTTTCGCCGGTATTCTGCCGCTGCATGACACAGCCGCGAGGGGTTCAACTCGTCAATGGGCCATTTATCATTTCCCGTCTATTTTCTGGTAGACGCTCCAATTTAGAGATTGTTGATGGCCCCAATATGCATGCCTAAAACTTTGGTCTGTGTCTATAGACGATAAATATACTGAGCCATTCGCAGTTCACAATTAATTTTTACGGAGATTAAAAATGAACAGTTCCTAAATTGGACTATCTACCAGAAAGCAGACACGGAATGCCAGGGACCCACTGACGAGCCGGACCCCTCGCAG